ATCATTTTTAAAAATTCGTACTGCTTACATTTTTCATTCTCATTATAATTTATCTCATCGTTACTTTCTTTTTTCTTCTTATTACTCTCGTTCTTGCATTGGATAACAGCAAAGTTTCTTGCGCACGATGCGCAAAGAGAACCCGCCGCACTATTATTAGGTGTATTGCTGATATTGTTTACCAAATTCGTCAAAAAAACATCATTATGCATATTGCTATACCTGTTACTAGGCTTGTAAGTTTTACTTTTCTTTTTAACCGTAGAGCCTTTAAATGAATCATCGATGTTGTCCGTACTTTTCGATATTCGCCGCGGAATTTTTGACAATTTCCGTCGCTTTTCACGCGGAGATCGATAACATAAGATCGTTGATGCTTTCGGCTCAATCTCCTCTAAAATAAATTGATGTAATTTTAATTAGTAATTTTAATTAGTAATTATTACAATTTATTTGTCATTTTAATAATTAATAAAAAATAAATCTCTAATACACGGAAAGGAAGATTTTACTGAAGTATTTAAAAATTTGGATACATGCAGATCTAAAAATAATTAAATTAAATAATTAATAATCAAAATAATTAAGTTGGAGATTAAAAAATAATGTACAATACTGCAAAAAGTTTCGACATTCTAGCAACCAGACTTGGATTCTCTACATAATTATTTTAATAGTTTAATTATTAAAAAAATATTTTTAGATCGGTATGTATAATTAAATATTTCTAAAAATTTCTAGACACTTCAGCGAAACTGTTTTTTTTTTGTATATACATAATGTAACGAAATTACAATAGGATATGTAAATTTGAAATTCTTACGTTTCACAAATGTCACGGGCTCATTCGGATGCAATTTATTCCATTCAGATCGAAGATAGTTGAGAATACTTGAACATCCGAGAACTATAATATCCTTTGGAGGGGTAATGATAGGATTATGTGCTATGTTAAGAATTTTAAGATTCGGCACAAGGCCTACAATGAAAATTTATAGCTAGTATATAGAAAATAGTATATAGAAAAAGAAAGACAATTAATGACAATTGACAAAATAATTATCATACATCTGATCACTTGCAAAGTTACTTACCAAGTTCTAGTGGCAATTTTTCGATTTTATTTCCTTGCAACAAGATGGTCTCTAACGAAGGATGTGACTTAATGGTCGTAGGTAAATTTGTTAATAGATTATTTCGAACGTCCAACCATTGTAAATTTTGCAGGGAAACGAAAAGTCTTTCGGGAAGCTCGAGAAGATTATTATTCTCTAGATATAGCATCTAAAATTCAATTAATTGTTCAACACATAAAATGAAATAATATGATATAAAAGTAATGTTGCACTGAAAAAAAGAAGAAATCTAAATCTAAATCTTACAAATGTTTCTGATTTCAAAAATATTACATACTTGTATCGCAGGATATTTCTCAAACATTTCAATAGGAAATGACGTAAGGCCAGTGCTTGTTAAATCTACAAAAGTCTCATTGTATATTGGAGTTCTATTTGGTGGCGGAGTCGAAGGTGGAACGAACATAATCGTATTTTTCCCCGCTATTGAAGAGACGTCTGAAGCACTATCCGGCAGTACATCTTCACTAAGCGAGAGATACAAATCGTTCTCTTCATTATCTTCCAGACCTTCTCGTACAGTAAAGACATACATTAAAACATGAATTTATTTTGTTCTACAATCGGTTTGTATTTACCTAAAGTAGTAGAGGCAGTTTTGCTGCATGCGGCAAGATCGTGTGTCTCTTTGCCAGAGGAAGTGCACGTATTTTCATATAAATTGCCCTTTGCATTTGCCTCGAAAATAATATCGAACTCAGATGATGTTGCTTCGTTGTCTTCTATTGCTTCCCATTTCAATGCTCGCGAGGATCTCGCTGGAGTATCAATTTCGGAATTCTCCTCCTTGTTTTCAATATCATTTTCCTATGTGCATAATAAGATACTGCATATATATATATGCAATATATTTGCGTGCATATTTTGTAATAAAAATAAAAAAATCAACTATGCCTTTCCTATTCTCATGTTTACCGCAGTATTTTTTCAATAAATGATGTGGATTTTTTTAACACAGCTTATTTTTGTTACGAATATTCTCAACTTTTAAGTTCACTTTGTGATTAACTATAATGTAGAAATTTCACTTTATTATTTTAACGTTTAATTATTAAGAAGGACCTTAACTGTGGGTCGAAACGTATACTATTGTAATTTTCATATTTAAATAAATCATAATTCATAACAATATCCCGCGTCAATTCTTAAAAACTCTATCTAATTTTGATTTAAGTAAAAAAGGTTTTAATTAAATTAATTTACAGTAAAAATCACCCAGATTTTTTATAAAATCTAATTCAGTCGAATTATATTTATAAGATATTTCAGTTATATTATATTTAAAAGATATTTCTCAATTTATCCAAATATAAATCAGCAATGGTAATATGATATTTCAATCATTATAATCGAAAGAACAACTAATTTTTCCGAAATAGTAAAATATCTGCTACTCCTGTTATCGTGTTTAAACGGATAATTGCACACGTTGTCATTATTATTTATAAAAAATAAATCCAGTTTAATAATAATAACAGAGTTGTATTAAAATTTGCACCTGCACTTCCGTTTCCTTGGATGTGTCATCACCGTTTGTATCCACGGTCGATTGCTCGCCAATCAATTTATCAGAGTCATTTTCTATACTGCCCACGCATTCCTGGATCGATGGAAATTTTTTAGTTTCCGATTCTTCGGAAATTCCGTAATATTGTGCGAGGAGGCTTACTACGATATCCTCAGCCATATCAAACAATGTCAAAGATAAACGACCTATTTGGCGACGATTACAACCCTCTTGTTTTTCTGTCACCTAGGTAACTTGCTACCTTTGTATAATACATACTGGCTGTGTTCCAACATTGACTGCCAGTACTGAAAATCTATACTGCACGTAACTGGAATATTTTTAGTGCTGATAGTAAATTTGAAACACGATCACTACATGTACACCATATGTATACCATACGTACTACTGTACTCGATCCAATTTCAGGAATTTAATTAATAATACTTTATATTACAAGACAAATTTATTTATTTTTACTCGTTCTTGTAGGAAAAAAATTAATAAAATGTTTATTTTTATAAATTCTCATTTTAAAATAAATTTAAGTTTAAAAGGGACATAAAATTTCTCTCTTATAAAATTGTAAACATTTCATATAAAATTAAAAGGAGATATTTTATTGGAGTATAAAAAACCTGTTTAGATCTTTACAGGACAAATTTATTGATTTTTTGTTTATGTAGAAAAATTACATTAGAGAAAAAAATATTACATATGTAACATATTAATAAATAATATAAATGACATACCCAGTGAGAAATGACAATAAAATCGATATCGGATCGACGTCGATTCGAATCGCAATTGAAAGTGATGATGCTAAGTCAGCAACATCACTTTCAATCGCGATTTTGTGCAACAAGTTAACACTCCCTTCATTAAATTATATATAAAATCAAAAAGTTAGTACAGTAAAATTAAATACTTTTTGTGTATACAAGAAAGAAGTTAACATGATTAATATATCTATAACGATTTAAAAAATATATACATCAATAAAATTCGACGAATATATTAGTACAAGAATAAAACGTTAGGTAAAATACAGAAAACGAATAAGTAAACAAAATGTTTCTTTGTTTATATACTGTCGAAATATGCGAGATTTTGATTCTCATCTCCTTTGACCGAAAAATCGCTCCCGAAATATATGTCCATTTATATATGTCCATTTATATACAATTATATAAAATTATATAAAAATTATATAATTTTATATAATTATATATATATATATAATATTTTTTTCCGGGTATGAAAATAACTGTTGTGAAAAGTAGCTCTAAAAAGAATTGTTTATAAAGGTAGTTGTGAAAACAACTAATTTAAAGAGTAGCTCTGAAAAGAATTAGATAATAGGTCGCAGAAGTTCAAGCAAGATTTCGGGACGCGCACAAAGCTGCGTACAAGCCGAATGTTCATTGAAATGAGATAGCAATATTTTGACTGGAATACAGTCTACTCAATATAAACAAAGTGCACAGCGGTTCTTTATACGCGCCCCATAATTGAGTCAAAAATTCCGCGCCCTAGACGTGAAGCAACACAGCGTTGACTTAAATTTCAAAAATCAAGTTATCGATTTCGATATCCTTATAGGTTTTTTATGAGAAACAATTAAATCAATATTATCCTTGTAATTTTTTTTAAAAATATACACAGAAAGAGCAAATAATAATGTAGAAAATCATACTCGTTGAAAATAAGATTATTATAGTATTAACCTGTTTTGAAAAATGATGGCTCGTAGAGATCAAATTACTGTTCATTATCACGACAGGGAGTCATGGAGATTTTTTATCAGGACAAGATCTACAACATATCAAATTTTTAGGCAATTCGATCAAAATTCAATTTCTATAAGATTTATGCGGCGTCCTTTACTGACAGTATTGAAAATCTATAGTTATTTATGTTATGTATTCAGTAAAATCTATAGTGTACATAACGTAAACTGGTAGTAATTTTAAAAACACCCTATAGAACTCACTGCTTTAGAAACTCTCAGAGGGGTGATTCGATTTTCTTCTATTATAATGTGAATGTTTTCCACTTGGCGCTCACAACACTCGCACAGTGTTCAATATTAAATAAACAAGGAAGATATTAAATAAACAAGAAATGATTCTAAGAACGTTGAGAACTAAATATAACATAGTCTGTATGTTTCTTTGTCTTCTATTCGCTCAATCGTTATGCATTCAATTAAATGTTCAGTGTTTAGTTCAGTTCACGTCAGTTGCTTTAATGAGTTGATAATTTTATTTAATTTTGCTTTGTGTCGCGACATTTTGCCATTTGTCAATTTGTCGCATTTATTGTTTCTATTATATTATTCTGAATTAGTTTTATACATTTTATTTTCATAGTCCACGTGCTATTAATCCAGATATGTTATGGATTCGAAAGGTAATAATTTTATTTTTTATTGTTTCTCACTGAGTGCACTGAAAAAAAATTATTAAATTTTAATAAATATTTATTCCAATATTACTAACGAAATATTTACTAAATATAAACATATATTTATTTGATTTAAGCATAACTTTTATTTTAAGACAATATTTATTTACTATAAATAAATATTTCGATACTATTGAAACAAATATTTATTAAAATTTAGCAAAATTTTTTTTTAGTGGACAGTGAACATCTTTAATCCAGCGAGAATCGATGTCGATTCGATATCGAATTGAACAATTTCGACGTTGAAATTTTTCATAATTTTCACATCGATTCGATGTCGAATTGACGATAATTTCTCATTGGGAATCTCGTCTTAAAGTCAGATATTATGTATTATGATAATGATCCTACTGGCAAGCTAATGTCAATCAGAATATAATGTAGGAGGTATACGACGAGATTAATTTGCAGGTACATTCGATGCGGCAAGAAGATGTCGAAGCAAAAGTTCCTCACAAAGCTTAGAATCTAAAAATTCATCTAGATCTCGAGCTTCTACTTCATCGTCTAGGTAAGTTTAAAGTAATACATTTCGAATTGTATATGTAATTTCACATATGTAAGTCTAGTTATCAAGGTTGCGTTCGCTTTTAGAGTTTTCAGCGCTTCCATTTACATCTGATAGATGATAAAGGATGCGATCGAGTTGTCGCTATGAATGTTTTGAAGCATTTGATTGATCAATCGGAAGAAAGAATTTTACTAATTGATCAATCAAAAAATGCTTCGAAGCATTCATAGCGGCAACTCGACCGCATCTAAAGACAGAGTAATGATTATTAGTTCTTAAAGTATGCTAGCCCAAAGTGCAATCCACTTATCGCTATACACACACATATTTTGAAGCATTTGATCGTCCAATGGAGGAAAGAATTTTATTCCAATCAAAAAATGCTTCGAAGCACTTAGTAGACTATAGACTCAAACTGACTTTTCATACGCAGCAATTCATTACTATTGGTTAAAAATTTTATATGAGATGACGCAATTCCGACGCAAAATACATTTTGCCGCATCTCAAGTTCGGTTGAAGTTCAATCGAACGAATAACAAAGAATTTGAAGTCAAGGAAGTCTACAATATTTGCAACAAATGTGAAAATTGAGTACATTTACAATGAGTACATACAATGAGTATATTTTTATTAAGATTTGAAATGATAGAGATATTCTAAATTCTTAATAATTATCTGAAATAGTAATTGTCTAAATTGTAACTAACAGTTGTCATATAATCACAAGTTTTTATCTTTTTAAGTTTTTTATATTAATTTTCGAGCTAAGTAAATAAAAGATAGCAATTATGAAAAATTTGCATCACGTGACATTTTTGGTGTCGTAGTGTGCTGCGCATGAAAAGAGGCTGTGTTTCAAAATTTTGAAATTTAGTACTGACATTTGATACTATTCAATTTGCTTCATTTTAACTTATTGTATCGTATGCATCAATTCAAAGAGAGCAGAAATAAAAAACGAACCTATCATATATAACATTTTCAATTACAGCGGGTTTTAAACCAACTGGAATTCTCTAATGTCTTATTGTTAATTGTCGTTATTGCTGATTAGTGACAACTAAGAGAGTTTTTTTTTCCAGTAGCGAGATTTTCTAAAGCTTGTTCTACAATAGAGTTGCAAGCCGTAAGCCATAAGAAATTAAGCTTAAGAATTGTAGTTAATTATTTTTGCCATATTCAACTGTGATTAGCTAATTTCTTACAACTTACGACTTTCGATCTAAAATGGAGAGCACAGACTCATGCATAATGCATAATGCATAGTATATAAGGGAATTATCCAATCAAAATTTTCCTTTTCTGTGAAATGGAAGAAAAGGAAAAATTTTACAGTTGAAAATGCTAGATAATAGTTAAAATAGTTTCTACAGTTTTCCTTACTCGGGAAATGGCGGGAAATATAATTTTGGGACATATTTTAACAGAAAAGAAGTAACGATTAATTTTGTCGAGCCATGTCTATTGTAATATCTCTGTTTTTAAAAATTTGTCTTTTTTTTATTAAAATTATTATTAAAGTTATTATTAAAATCGTGACTCTTACTTGCACTTTAGAATAAGTAAACAGATTTTGTAGTAAATGCGATTATTGTATAGAGAGGCGATTATTGTATATTTATGAAGCAGAATACTAGAGATTTGTAAAAGCTATTATGTGTTTCGTGAGTTATCTCTGTGTTTGTATCCATTCTTGGAATGCTAACGTTTCGTGGATGTTGCAGTTCACTTCATCAGGGTAAGGAGTCTGACACTAGAGACCTGTTGTTTTTAATTGAATTTCTTATGTGTGCACGGTTTTCTTCACCTTTTGTCTTTTTTCTCCAATGTAGAGAGAAAAAGAAGAATAAGAGAGGTAAACCATGTAAAAAATTTAAAAGTTAAAAAAACGGCTCTTATACATAAATTGGATTAATAGAACTAAAGAATTTCATGTCCTACATAATAAAAAAAGAAAAATTATACGTCAAGTACATAAAATTAGTATTGAATGTTGCATTATCTAAAATAAAAAAATATTTTTTAACAATTTAATTATTCAAAAATTAACTATTTAAAAACAAAAATGAAATTAATGCAAGTATCTCACCCAAGTATCTTACCCATTATTCAAAAAAGATTTTGGAAAAGCTTGTAAAAAACTTATTAATTATAAGATATATTAGGTACGTGGAAAGTTCGTGTCGTTTTTTCAAGAGAATATGTTTATAGGGGAAAAATAAATTTTCCGCGATATCTAATATCTTATAATATATTTTATATATAAAACAGATTAAAGTGATCAAATAGATTGTAGTAAAGAAAAAACTTGATGCTCGGGTCGTATTGATTGCATTTGTAAACATCTATCTGTCAATATTGTATTTGCATTATGGTAATATAAAAGTAATAGACATGTTATATATTTATATATTTATATATAGATGAATCTATATATATATATATATATATATATATATATGTGCGTGTATACAGGGTGAATCAGAGTCATTGAACCAGCTTTTTATCCTATGAGAAAATAATTAACTACACGTTATAATTCAATTATACATACACATATATATATATATATATATATATGTACACACATACGTACACATATACGCGCGCGCGCGCGCGCGCGTGTGTGTGTGTATGTAAAATAATACAATTATGTATTATTACAATTACCTAATAAATTTACGTTTTAATTCATAATAACATTGAGTGATAAATATACAGTGTATTTGTTAATTAAAAAATTTGATGATTTTGTCATTTGCACTCTCATTCCACTTCTGTGCTATTTATTGTCAGAATACAAAATTATAGCAAAAAAAGCATCGGTTTTTGAACAATAATTTTATATGAGTAAAAAATATTTAGTTATATTCATAAAAAAATGAAGGTTCTATTTTTTTCATTTGGAAGGAAGAGAATCTCAGTTTCTTTTATATACATCGAATGTCCCATTTTAACTTAGACATCGAAATATCAAAATATACAAAAAATATATACGAAAAATGTTTCATACAAAATATATATGGATATACGTGTATAGATTAGTTTATTATATTATTTTATGATATTAAAAATTGTTTAATATTTAATATTTAAATTTTTTTTATTAAAACAATATTTATTTTATTTATAGCACAAAAATTAAATATACAAAAAGGAAAACAGAAGATGTCAGCTCAGAAGAAGAACAACCATGTTACAAATCAAAATTTGTGAAATCCCTAGAATCAGAAGAAGAATCTGAAGGTATAAAGAATTGAAAAATTTCTAATTACACAAGTGAATAAAAATTAAATGATTTTTTTACAAATTTTTATTTATGTTTGTATGTTATGATTTATATTTCGGTATTTTATGATTCCAGGAGAAAACTTAGACAATATCGATGAAAATGAAGAAGAGCAAGAAGAAGAAGAGCAAGAAGAAGAAGAGCAAGAGGAAGAAGAGCAAGAGGAAGAAGAAGAAGAAGAAGACGAAGAAGATGATGATGACAAACCGAGAAAGAAAAAGAAAAGTAGAGTTGCTAGATTCATCATAGATGAAGCTGAAGTAGACGATGATGTGAAGGATGACGATGAATGGGAGGAAGAGGAAATTGATGTAATAGGAATTGATGTTGACGAATTAGGGCCAACTGCGCGTGAGATTGAGAGACGACATAGAGATACAAATCTTTGGCAAGTATTTAGAATTTGAAGATAATTTCAGATATATCATATTTGTTTTAATAAAAATTTTTGATTCTTTGAACATATTTTTTAGTACACAAGAAGGGGAAATTGAGGAATACCTTCGAAAAAAATATAGCAACAAATCAATAGCCGCTCATCGTTTTGGCGACGGCGGCGAAGAAATAAGCGAAGAAATCATCCAGCAAACTTTATTACCAGGCGTGAAAGATCCAAATTTATGGTTGGTAAAATGTCGAATAGGAGAAGAAAAAGCCACAGTACTGTTATTGATGCGCAAGTTCATCGCGTGTCAGAATTCAAGTGAGTCAATATAAATTTGACAGATTATCTTATCGAATATACCTTAATGTCTCTAAATATCCTTTTGCTTATTAAAAAATTTAGGTGAACCTTTTCAAATAAAATCTGTTGTGGCACCAGAAAGAGTTAAGGGGTATATATATATAGAGGCTTACAAGCAATCGCACGTAAAAGTTGTTATTGAAAATGTTAGAAGTCTTAGAATGGGTACATGGAAACAAGAAATGGTGCCAATTAAAGAGATGATAGAAGTGCTGCGAGTTAAAGAACAAACTCATTTAAAACCTAAACAATGGGTCCGTGTGAAACGAGGCATTTACCAAGATGATTTAGCTCAAATTGTTTATATCGATTTAGCACAAAATCAAGTTCACTTAAAATTGCTTCCGAGAATTGATTACTCTAGATTTCGTGGCGTATTGAGAACAATACAGAACAAATGTATTGAATCCGATGTATTGAAACGTAAGAAGAATAAGAAACCAGCAAAAAAACCATTTAATCCTGAAGCAGTTCGTGCTGTTGGAGGAGAAATTACCAAAAACGGAAATTTCTATATTTTTGAAGGAAATAGATATAATCATAAAGGGTTTGTTTTATTTTATAATATTACATTATTTATACATATATTTAAGTATATACATAATTTTAATCAATTAAAATGATTTCTTATTTTGTGTAGGTTTCTTTACAAAAATTTTTTCATAAATAACATTATGGTGGAGGATGTTATACCTACACTTTCCGAATTAGAAAAATTTGAAGAAGCGCCGCAAAATGTTGAAATAGATTCCAATGATACGCCAGGAAGTGGAACATTTGAAAAAAATCAACTTCATTCCTTCAATAATGGAGATAATGTAATAATATGCGAGGGTGAACTTACAAATCTACAGGGAAAAATCGTTTCCATAAATGGGAACACAATTATGGTTATGCCCAAACATAAAGAACTTAACGAAGTTTTGGAATTACATGCTTCAGAATTACGAAAATATTTTACGCAAGGCGACCACGTGAAGGTAAATTTAGTGCGTTAAAAAACTATACTCTTTGCCACAACATTATAATTTCATTTTAATTAATCTGCAGATTACGGCAGGACGATATGAAGGCGACACAGGTTTAATTGTTAGAGTAGAACAAAACAGAATAGTTTTATTCTCCGATTTGACAATGCACGAACTCGAGGTTCTACCGAGGGATCTACAATTGTGTTCTGACATGGCAACTGGTGTTGACAGCTTAGGTAAATTTCAATGGGGTGACTTGGTGCAGTTAGATGCACAGACAGTTGGTATTATCGTTCGATTAGAACATGAGAATTTCCATGTCTTGTCTATACATGGGAAAGTAATCGAAGTAAGACCGCAAGCCGTTACGAAGCGTCGCGAAAGCAGAAATACAATCGCATTGGACTTTCGACAGAGCACTATACGAAAAAAGGATATTGTTAAAGTAGTTGACGGACCGCATACCGGTCGAGGAGGTGAAATTAAACACCTTTACAGAAGTTTTGCTTTTTTGCACTCGAAAATGTTTGTCGACAACGGTGGAATATTTGTATGCAAAACCAGACATTTACAGTTGTCCGGTGGAAATAAAACAACTTCTATTAACTCTATGTCACCAGTGGCAGGATTTATGTCACCTAGAATTGCCTCCCCGATGCATCCTAGCGGGTATGGTTTTTTATTTTCATTCTATTTTTAATTTTGTTTAGCAGACTCAACTGTTGTGGAGCAAATCCGAGCGCTATTGGTGTATTTCTTTTAGATCATCCGATACCAGCGAGCGCTTACGGATTCGTTCCGTAACAATTGAGTCTACTGAACGCGACCATTGTCATAGTCTTTCAAAGTTTACTTATGTGTTTTCAATCTTATAGAGGTGGTTTTGGACGAGGTGGCGGAGGTGGACGAGGAAGAGGTCGTGGTGGCGGTGGCGGTGCAAGACGCGACCGAGAATTAATAGGAACCACTATCAAAATAACAGGTGGACCATACAAAGGAAACGTGGGTATTGTAAAAGATGCGACAGAAACAACAGCACGCGTGGAACGGCACTCGACTTGCCAGACGATTCGCGGTTTCGTTGTTCTCAAGAGCCAACGGTTGGTGATAAAGAAAGAGTTGGTGGTTTTACCAGCCACAACAAAACTCCGATTTATGGATTCGGTGGACAGACGCCGATGTATTCGAAGGACGCATCAAAAACACCTACGTATGGTTTCCAGACGCCTATCTACGAATATATATATATATATACATGTACTTCTATTATATGGGATGATTCTTTTATGTGAAAAGTATAATCTTTTTTAATTCGAATCTTATCAGATGGTTCTCGTACTCCACATTACGCCGGTTCGATGACATCATCTCACGATGGCTCACGAACACCAGGTCAATCCGAAGCCTGGGATCCGACAATTTCTAATACACCTGTTAGCACGAATGATTTTGAAGAATATAAGATGGAGAAGGGTGGCTCATGGGTTGGTTATCCTTCCGAAAACTCTCCTACTGAAGGGTCGTTTATTCCACAGACTTCGATTATGTACGGTTCGGAACAAACCTACGGTTCATGTCATTCGAGTCCTATAGAAAGTTCTATCGTCAACTCAAATTATGAAAGCTGCAGTGCTTCGTCCTCAACGAGTACTGGATACATCAGTTCATATAACGCGTTTTTAACACCTTCTCCAGGAGATTACATACCTAGTAAGTAATATATGAAATCTGAAGTAGAGATGAAGATTTATAAAAACATACAATACTTATTTTTATTATTGGATCTCCATATATCAATAGTTTTATAATTTAATTTTGCAATATGATTGCCCTTTAATTTTCTTTTCGCGTTATTTACAAATTATAAATAAAGGTCTATAACTATTTTAACACTATCTATTCTAATCTACTTAATTATATTTCTTTATATAATGTATTAAACAATACAGACAAATTGAATTAATTAATGAAATTAAATATGTGTTTTAGAAACAGAAACCATTGCATCACGTCATACTTTATATTCACGATCTTTAATTTTTCAAATCACTCTTTTATTAAATTTTTTAATAAATTAAGACATACATATAAAATGAGAATTATGATCGAATTTAAATATACCGGTTTAATCAATTCTATATAAATCGAATGCTTTTACATGAAGCTACATCATCTGTAGCAGAAACAAATTTTCAGTACTTATGTAGCATAATTTATCATTCTTGCAGGTAATCCATATAATCTACTAACACCTCGTTTAGGAATGAATGCAGATGACAATTCAAATTGGCATACAACGGATATTGAAGTTCGCATTCGCAATACCCATGATGATCTTGCCCTCGTTGGACAAAAAGGAGTCATCCGACAAGTTTTCGTAAGTGATTCTGTGTTTTAATTTTGGATTTAATAAAGATATTATTAGACATTAATAAATATTATTGGATATCGGTAATTTATATACACTCGTTTTTGTGATTGCACTGATTAAAAAAAATAATACGTTTATTTGTGGCAGGGTGACATATGCACCGTTTACTTACCTATGGAAAATCGAGCAGTGAGCATAGTACGTAGACAATTAGACTTTGTAGTACCATCATGTGGCGATCGAGTCAAAGTGATTCTTGGTGAAGAAAACCGTGAAGCCGTCGGCACTTTACTTTCGATCGACTATCAAGAGGGAGTGGTAAAGCTCACTACGGACGAAATAAAGTTCGTCCAATTTCGGTTTTTGGGTAAAATGGAAGACATAAAACAAGGATAGAAGGATGTGATATTGATAGCCTGCACCTTATGTTTTATATAATAATAAATAACATTTTATATAATAAATATTTGTATATTATATATCTGATAATATTCTTGAAGCTTTCACGAGTGTTTTCTATATAAAGATTATGAGCGGGTTTCCTCCGTGTCGAGATCCATTCTTGGAATGCCAACGTTTCGTGAACCTTGCGGTCTATTTCATCAGGGCGAGAAGCAGCCTGATGAATCTCGACATGGAGGAAACCCGCGAAACGCAAAATCTTCACATTATATGTCTGTTTTTTTTTCTCATGTTCTACATTATAATTTGTAGAGAATTCGAAATAGTAAGAAAGAGAATGCATCGTTTTGATTTTTGAATATTGCTCATGATTACAACTTGATTATCAAATTGATTATCAAACATTACTTACCCAGCAAACAAGAATGGATTGAAATAAATTGAAATGGATTCAGATTTTCAGAAATATTGATTCGCGAATGTTAAAATGAATGCTTTTCAATTCTGAATGCATTTTTATTCATTTAGAGAAATTGTATGGAGCTCTATGCTTTTCTAAAAATAATATTAGCTTTTTCTGTGCACATAAACATAATTGTGAATACTGTTCAATTCAAAATTTTGAATAGGAAATACAGTTTTTCAATCCAATTGCATCCAATTAAATCTAGTTGAATCCAATTAAATCCAAAAAAAATATTCGTTATTTAAAATACGCATTTGGATAGAAAAAAATTTCAATCCATTTTAATCCATTCTCGTTTGCTGGGTACATACAGTAATATTTATTTAATAATGAAATGTTTAGAATTGAATTCTTGTTAAAATTTACATCAAATATAATGGCATTAACTATTTACAGTAAATTAAAATTTTTTAATGCATTTATTATCTATCTCGTATAATTTGTATGATAATCAAACTATAATTTTTAAACATGATTAAAAATTTATACTATTTTAAAAACGATCATGTAAAGTAATTATGCTGGACTCAAAAAATTAATTATTCCTATACATATTAGGTGTTGGAATTAATTCGTAGCGTTTTACAAGTGATGGGAAGTACCTTCATTAATGTATTTTTTAATGCTCATGTGAAATAAATAACATTCTTTCATTAAAAAACGCTACGAATTAATTCCAACACCTAATATATGTATATACATATACTATTATAAGCTTAGCTGATAAAAATCCTTACTGATAAAAACAGAGAGAAATCTGAGAGAGGACATGACGGCTCAAAACCTGTAATCGCAAAATGCTGTCGCGCAGTATTGCCCTCTGACAAGTGGATGTAAACTACACAGCAACGTCCACTTTTCTTAGGGTACATCGTCCACTTTTGTTGATGCCTAACCATTTGCAAGCTATCAATGACTATTGTATTGTATTTTATTTTATATTATGTCTACTATAGTCTATTGTGTCATATTTTATGTCTATTACTCTGTCATGTAGTCTTTCTCATAAAGCTTCGCAATAAATTAAATTAAACTAATTAAACTAAGCTAATCATGATTTTTTTTCTTCTATCTCTTTTTCTAATCCGTATTTCAGCTATTCGACATTTAAATGGTTCTGAAAAAGAGAATGAAAAAAGAAAGAAGTAAGATAGAAGTTTAGATGGCGTTACTGAGCAACTTACTTATTTCGCGCATGCGCACTCCATTTTGGCCAACAAACTCAGGAGAGTTGCGCTACTGTATACTGTACTGTATACTGTACTGTGTTTTTATTTCATGTAAAAACGCACTAAATGAGCATAATTTCTGAAGTTGAAGGTGAAGGGTGTCTTCATAAAAATAATTACCAATTCTCGCACTATTTGTACAAGATCTGTTTTCTGTGACTGAACTAGTGTATGTTAGTGCTTGTACTGACTTCAGACTTAGTGCAGCCAGTACAGTGAACTCGTCCACTGGACAAAAAACACCATTGCTAACGCCATTTTGGGAACAGAAAACGCTTTAAGAGCTCAATAAAAGGAACAGGGAACAGAGAACAGAATAAGAATTTCAACCTATCAGAAATCATGTATTGTAGAATATACAGTTTCTGGTAAATTGAAATTCTTAGGGGTTCCGCACAATAAAAGGAACAGGAAACAGAGAACAGAGAATAAGAATTTCAACCTATCAGAAATCATGTATTGTGGAATACACAGTTTCTGATAGGTTGAAATTTTTATTCTCTGTTCTCTGTTCCCTGTTCCTTTCATTGTGCGGAGCCCCTTATTCTCTGTTCTCTGTTTCTTGTTCCTTTTATTGTGCGTCGAATTCTTGAATTGGAAAGAGATAAGAAACAAGTTAAACTTTAGTTAAGAGTTAACCGTGGAATTGGGCATAAGTGAGCACTCACTGCTATTGAAGTATTCTTTCAAATCTGAAATGCTAATTGGATGATCTAAAAGAATACACCAATAACAGCTCATTCAACTGTTGAGTTCGCTGAACGCAGCCATTGGGTGAACAACAAGGACAAAATGATGAAGGATGAAATGACGCGGGGACACTCGAATAATATTTCCGAACGCAGCTCATGCATGTATCCCTTCCACTATGGTTTTTTCCATATTTCAATTCTTGTTCGACTTCGACGCCATGATAAATTAGTTATCGTCACGTTGTCGTACTTGATCTTTCCTTAGGTCGTGTTAATCGCATTAATTTGCTCATTTGTCGGAACAATTATTATTCTCATTAATTCGCGATACTCTTATACATTTTCTACATTTCCAGTAGCTCAATATTCAGCACGCGCGAATAATTCCGATATGTCGGATTCAGAAGGTAATTCCATCAACAGGGGTTAAAATCGACCAAAATATAATGTAGAATGTACATAACGAGAATTATTGTAGGTGCCAGCGATGCCGGAAGTATCGGAGGAAGATCTCGGAGCGTTTCTCGTAGCAGGAGTCTTTCACGAAGTTCGGGATCCAGGAGTCGATCCATATCTCGATCACGTTCTCGCTCACCATCTGGGTGAGTATAAACTGCAAAGCACCTAATGCAGCTCGAATTGTGTACTTCATATGTAACAAATGTAGAACTCATCGAATCTATGACACATATACTCAGAACTCTCTTTTTACTCATAGCATAAATTTATTTTTGTTAGAAATCTAAGAAAATGTTAATTGTTTTTAATTTAGCGAGACTAGTGGACAATGATAAATAATATCCGTTAGACAATATAATTAAACTAATAGGACTCCTTATGATTAAATTAATAAATAAAACTGCATTAGAGTGCAATAATAAATTTGAGACCAACATATGTTTGAACATGTTTCGATTTATTTTGAACTATCTTCAGTATAAATATTTGTTGAAAGATTAAATATATGAAACATTAAATTGATTTCAAATTTATTATTGTGCTTCAGTTATTGCACTGACTTTCATAATTTTATGCAGCAATCTTTGTTGGTGAAGACCCTCCACTTCATAGATTCGTGCAAAAATGAATAGCGAGCGAAGCTTCTGGCTGAGGTCCACTTGATTAAGGTCCAAATGCTTGAACCATTTTTTGATTGGTCAATTTTTTGAATGGTCTGTTCAATGTTTCTTCATTCATGGCATAGTAGGAGTAATTGATGAAGCTTTGCTCTATGAAAAGGTCAGGCTTCAGCAAAGAGTGAATGCTGGCTTTATTTTTGGCAGATATTTTTGGAGGATCTTCACCAGTGAAACTTCGTTGTATGATATTGTACCTTATGGCCTGATTTGTATCAATATTACTTTAACTTTAAACAAGACTTAAAGTCAAAGTAACATTGGTGCAATCGAGCCTTAGAGAATTAAAATTTGCAACCTAGTTTATTTTATAAGGTACAATATTGTCATTTAAATGTTTGCTTGTCTACATATCCAATTGAATCCTCATCTTACAAGTTGTACTTTATTTCTAAATCGTCATCCTTTATTGGGGGCGATGCATGTTCTTAAGGCTTCTTTTGAAACCTTCAAAATTTAATGAAGAAGATACTCTTATATTTATTTGTATAATCCATCAATTAATCTTTTGTCTTGCGACATGACTTTGGATGTTAGATGACACTAATTACAATATATATAGTTAATTCGTTAAAAAAGAAATGTATATTAAAATTTGATCTAAATAACAAAAATTGAACGTTAACAAATTTACTATAATTGTTTATCATTCAAGGAGTTTGTGCCAATTGATCCATTTGTTCTGGAACTCATTCAGAAACTTCACTCGAGTGCACCTATATATCATGCTATTCTTATTTAACTCTTAAGTAGGCATACAAAATCACACAGTGATTGTTACAAAGTTGCCCTGAAACTTTCTCCCGAGGAGACTGAACACCAGATTGTTCGATTCATCTTTTTACTTGTAATACTGTGATTCGTTTTAAACAAATTGAAAATTGATTCATAGGAAAGAAAATGAAGAAGAAAAACTGACTCTGACTTTATGCGCTTAAGGATTAACATTTGGTGAAGAATAAAATGAAAAATTATAGTAAAAAAGAATGAGTTTTTTTGTAACAATTTTATGTGAATAAAAAAATATCTAGTTTTGTACAAATAAAAGTAAGATATTTTCTTGCATTTAAAAGGAAGAAAATCTTAGATATTCTATGTACACGCGCGCGCATACGCACACATATGTATGTATGCGTGCACGTACGCGTGTATGTGGATTAATTTATTTTATAAATGTTTATTTTACAGCTCAGAAGATGGAGATGCGAAGATAGATGAAGCAGAAGAAGTCAGATCCGGGGATGAAGAAATTGTGGAAATGGAAGAGGAACCTGAAGGTATAATAAATCAGACAATTTCTAACATACACAAATAAAACTTAAGTGTTTTTCAAAACAATTTTTACGAATTGTTTTATAATTTTTGTTATATATCTTATGTTTTATGGTTACAGGAGAAGACTTGGATAGCAGTGAATATGATGAGGAAGAGGATGAAGAAGATGATGATAGGCCGAGAAAGAAAAAAAAGAAAGATAGATTCGGTGGCTTTATTATAGATGAAGCTGAAGTAGATGATGAAGTAGAAGATGACGATGAGTGGGAAGAAGGCGCTCAAGAAATTGGTATCGTGGGAAACGAAGTGGACGAATTAGGACCGACTGCGCGTGAGATTGAAGGTCGACGTAGAGGTACAAATCTTTGGGAGTAAGTATTCAAAATTTAAAAATGATTTTATATACTTCAATTGTTTTAACAAAAATAAGTCCTTAATGAATATATTTTCTAGTTCGCAGAAAGAAGACGAAATTGAAGAATATCTTCGGAAGAAATATGCTGACGAATCAATCGCTGCTCGTCGTTTTGGCGACGGTGGCGAAGAAATGAGTGACGAAATCACTCAGCAAACTTTATTGCCAGGCGTGAAAGATCCAAATTTGTGGATGGTAAAATGTCGTATAGGAGAAGAAAAAGCCACAGTACTATTATTGATGCGAAAGTTTATTACATATCAATTTTCAAGTAAGAAATATAAATTTGAAAGGTTATATCATTTTGATTATATTACCTATTATATCTTATCGCCTGTTTTCAAATATCTTTTTATTTTTTCAAAAATTGTAGACGAACCTCTTCAAATAAAATCCGTTGTGGCACCGGAAGGAGTTAAGGGATACATATACATAGAAGCATACAAGCAGCCGCATGTAAAAGCTGCTATTGAAAATGTCGGAAACCTCAGAATGGGTATATGGAAGCAACAAATGGTGCCTATTAAAGAGATGACGGATGTATTACGAGTAGTTAAAGAACAGACGGGTTTAAAAGCTAAACAATGGGTCCGTTTAAAACGAGGCATTTATAAAGATGATATAGCTCAGGTTGATTATGTGGACTTAGCACAAAATCAAGTTCACTTGAAATTACTTCCAAGAATCGATTATACTAGACCTCGTGGTGCGTTGAGAACAGCGCAGAGTGAATCCGAAGCATTAAAACGCAAGAAGAAAAGACGACCACCAGCGAAACCATTTGATCCTGAAGCAATTCGTGCTATTGGTGGAGAGGTTACTAGCGATGGAGATTTCCTTATTTTTGAAGGAAACAGATATAGTCGTAAAGGGTTTGTTTTATTATTATACATATTATTATATATTGTATAATATATTATTACGGTATTTCCATATACATAATTTCATTTAAAATTCTTTTGTATTTGTGCAGTTTTCTTTATAAAAATTTTACCACAAGTGCTATTATCGCGGAGGGTGTTAAACCTACACTTTCCGAATTAGAAAGATTTGAAGAAGCGCCAGAAGGTGTTGAGATAGATTTAAGTGGTACGCCAGGAACTGGAACTTCTGGGAAAGAAGATCAATCTGTAGCTCACTCTTTTAGTAATGGAGATAATGTAGAAGTGTGCGAAGGTGAACTTGTAAATCTACAAGGAAAAATTGTTTCAATTGATGGGAACATGATTATGGTTATGCCGAAACATGAAGAACTTAAAGAAGCTTTGGAATTCCAAGCTTCAGAATTACGAAAATATTTTACGCAAGGCGATCACGTAAAGGTAAAGCGTTATAGAAAACTATATTTTACATGCTAGAAAAATTATATTTTTATAATATTTTAATTAATCTCTAGGTTGTAGCAGGACGATATGAAGGCGATACAGGTTTAATTGTTAGAGTAGAACAAAATAGAGTAGTTTTATTCTCCGATTTGTCTATGCACGAACTCGAGGTTCTTCCGAGGGATCTACAATTGTGTTCTGATATGGCAACTGGTGTCGACAGCTTAGGTCAATTTCAATGGGGTGACTTGGTACAGTTAGATGCACAGACAGTTGGTGTTATCGTTCGATTGGAACGTGAAAATTTCCATGTCTTGTCTATGCATGGGAAAGTAGTTGAAGCAAGACCACAAGGTCTTACAAAACGCCGCGAAAATAGAAATGCGGTTGCCTTGGACTCTCAACAAAATACGATACAAAAGAAAGATATTGTTAAAGTAGTCGACGGACCGCATGCTGGTCGAGGCGGTGAAATTAAGCATCTTTATAGAAGTTTTGCCTTTTTGCACTCGAGAATGTTTGTCGACAACGGTGGAATATTCGTATGCAAGACCAGACATTTACAATTGTCCGGTGGAAATAAAACAACTTCTATTAACTCTATGTCACCAGTGGCAGGATTTATGTCACCTAGAATTGCCTCCCCGATGCATCCTAGCGGGTATGGTTTTTTATTCTCATTCTATTTTTAATTTTGTTTAGCAGACTCAACTGTTGTGGAGCAAATCCGAGCGCTATTGGTGTATTTCTTTTAGATCATCCGATACCAGCGAGCGCTTACGGATTCATTCCGTAACAATTGAGTCTACTGAACGCGACCATTGTCATAGTCTTGCAAAGTTTACTTATGTGTTTTCAATCTTATAGAGGTGGTTTTGGACGAGGTGGCGGAGGTGGACGAGGAAGAGGTCGTGGTGGCGGTGGCGGTGCAAGACGCGACCGAGAATTAATAGGAACCACTATCAAAATAACAGGTGGACCATACAAAGGAAACGTGGGTATTGTAAAAGATGCGACAGAAACAACAGCACGCGTGGAACTGCACTCGACTTGCCAGACGATCTCTGTCGATCGTTCTCATATAGCAAATGTCGGCGTCCCGTCAAAGGATGGTGGCTTCAGCAGCTACAACAGAACTCCAGCTTATGGGGCTGGTGGACAGACGCCAATGTATGCACGAGATGGATCAAAAACACCTATGCACGGTTCTCAAACTCCGATGTACGAAAGTGAGTATCTTTTTATATATATTTCTTTTATGTGGGACGAATCTTTTATATAGAAAGCATAATCTTAAATCTTTAATTCTAATGTTATAGATGGTTCTCGTACTCCGCATTATGGTTCGATGACGCCATCTCACGATGGTTCGCGAACACCAGGTCAATCTGGAGCTTGGGATCCAACAGTTACTAACACACCCGCCAGGACGAATGATTTCGATGGATACAGTATGGAAGAGGGTGGCTCGCCTGGTTATGGACCCGGATATCCTCCTACTGGAGGACCATTTACTCCACAAACTCCAGGCACTATGTACGGCTCAGAACAAAGCTTCAGCTCATATCAGCCAAGTCCTAGTCCTGCAGGCAGTGCTACCGCAAGTCCGAGTCCTGCAGGCTATGTTGCTACTCCATCCCCAAGTGGTACCGGATACACTACTAGTCCACACGGTGCGTTTGCGACGCCTTCTCCATTGGGTTATAGTCCTATGACACCTGGTAAGTAATATATGGAATTTTTGTGAATAGATATAGAGCTGGTTTATAATCTTTATTATAGGATCTCAATATTGCAATAATTTAATGCTATAGTATAATTGCATTTTAATTTTTTTCCCGCGTTATTTACAAATATTAATTTTAAATAAAAAGCTCTATGATTATATTATTTATATATTTATCTTAATCTGCTCAATAGATTTTTTATCGTTAAAATGCAGAAACAAATTTTGAATAAATGAAATGTGAGTTCTCGAAACTTCATTTACTTGTGCAACCTTCAATTTTTCAAATTAATCTTTTATTAAACGAAAATATATGTGGGATAACAGTTAGAATTAGCTGACAAAAATTTTTGGTGTAACAAATTATATTATGAACGATATGAGATTCAGTACTTGCTCAATATACATATAGCGTAATTTGTAATTCTTATAGGTATACCAGGTAGTCCATACAATCCACAAACGCCTGGTTCAGGAATAGATGCAGGTGTCGGTTCTGGTATTATAGGTAACTCAGAATGGCATACAACAGATATCGAAGTTCGCATTCGCGATTCTCATGACGATCCTGCGCTCGCTGGACAGCAAGCAGTTATCCGAGGAATTTCGGTAAGTAATTCTGTCAATTCTGGACATAGAGTAAGGTATTATTGTGATATTGATAGTTTGTATGATTAAACTGATTTTACAAGAATAACACATTTATTTGTGGCAGGGGGGTATGTGCACTGTTTATCTACCTACCGAGGATCGAGTAGTGAACTTAGTGTGTGAACAATTAGAGCCTGTGGTACCGTCACGTGGCGATCGAGTCAAAGTGATTCTAGGTGAAGACCGTGAAGCCGTCGGCACTTTACTTTCGATTGACAATCAAGAGGGAGTGGTAAAACTCAACACGGACGAGATAAAATTCTTGCAATTGCGGTTTTTGTGTAAAATGAAAGATATAAAACAAGGATAGAATGATGTAATAGCATTGATAGCATGCTCCTAATGCGCCTTAGATGTCTGATACATATTTGATACAGTAATTATAAAAGACAGAGTACGAGCGTGGCGCACGAGACTGCTATGCTAGAGATCCCGGGTTCGATCCCAAGCAGATTGAAGGATCTTCACGCGCTCGTAGCTCTTTGGTCTGGCAAACCACCAAGATATCTATTGTCAAGAGAACCTTTCAAAACTACCGTTCGGAACTGGCGTTAAATTGTAGGTCCCGTACAGCGTCTGTGTCTCTGTGTACAGCGATCTGCGTGCGCACCACAGATATATGTACGAGAGATAGACCTAGTCCCGATTTGGGATGTTGCGCCATTGGATTATAAATGACAATTGTATATTATTATATATACACTTTATTTGTCTCTCTGTTTTCTCTCTTGTTCTATATTATAGGGAATTGATAATAGAAAAGGAAAAGCATTCCTTAATATTTGATTGTTGCTGATTACGACTATTTTTATCAAACTGGTAATCAAATTATAATTATTTTATAACACATGAATTAATGCTACATATGTATAATACATATGAATTAATGTTCTGTATCAAGTATTATGAAACTATCTGCGTGATTTAGTAAATATACATGTAACCACTATGTATATACATTATCTTGTGTAATTTTTTTTATTCTCCCATATTTTGGCATATTCCATTTATATCCTTAGATTTTTCTTAAATTTTTAATATTTTTTTAAATATATATAATCTACATACATATGCATTTATCTTTTTTTATAAATTTACGTTTATGAAGTAAGGAATCATGTCTGAAGTTATTGCTTTATTAACACTTAGTAACACGCGTCTAGAAATAAAATAATTGTAATATAATAATGGGCGCAAGCCGTTATAGGTTTGTCAGGAATATTCAAGAAACCCGTGAAAATAAACCACGCGGTTAAATTTGGAATTTTTGTTTCGGAGTATGAACAAATGTTCCTTATGGTTTTTCTTGGTATTTGTAGGCTGCATCTGTGAAAGGTTTGTTGCATTTAATAAAGATATACATATCATTTAACAATGAAAATGTCTAAATTTATTTAAATTTGTGCAATATCAATATTATTGATACTTCAAGAAATGATCTTTTGATAAAACTTATATAAGACGTAATCGCGTTACTATTTACGGATTGAAGTTTTTAATGCATTTTTATTATTTATCTTATATGACAGAATAATCGAGGTTAAATCTTTTAAACATGGTCAAAAAACCGGTACCGTTTTATTTGAAAGAAACGATTATGGGAAGCAATGCTGGACAAACGAGGAATTTACTATTCTTAGTAGCCGGAGAATGTTTCAAGATATTCTACCTGATGTAAGACTCAAGAAGGCAGATTTTCTAAGAACTTTGTCGATTCAAACTATGTTATAAAAATTGAAACAATATCTTATCATTTTTAAAAATAATAAAAAATTTAAGAATTTGATTAAGAATTCCTAGAGATGCATTTTTTTATTCTTTGAAATTTATTTATAAATAAATTTGTAATAAAAAAATCTATATATTTTGCAATTTCAATGAGAATGTCTAAATTGTCTAAAGAATTCGAGTCTTCTATAATAAAGAGTGAGTGTCCTGGTTAAAGATAAGCATGAATCTTTTTAAGGGTGCATTCTATTTCAAGCATAATATGCACTATGTATCATTTTATCCTCCTTTAATATTCGGTGAACAACAAAAATAAGATGATACGTCATGCGTATCATGCATGCAATGGAATGCACTCAAGATTTTCCTTTCCGCCAGGTGAATGTCATCGATCCTCAGAATGACCAGTACATAGCGAACCTTATGGACTATTTTCACATATGCCTCGAAAGCGTACGGAGGCTGTCCGTTGGCAAAACGAAGCATTTGGTGCTGAAAGCTCTGGCGGATACTCTGGGCGGTTATTTGCGAGTTTACATCCTCCCCATCACAAGGCACTCATATTACGCGGGTAACATCAAGTATCGTAATGCGAAGGTGCTGTTCGATCTTTACGACGAGCTGAAAGTATTTCTTCGGACCAATGGCGCTGGTTGGTCAAATCCTAACAAGAATTTTACAAGTGTCAGGATCCCTCCTATTGTAATTACACCGCCAAAAACATCGGTCGCCTGTAACGGGCTTATCACGTATTCGTCGTGTAAGTGTGACTTTCAAAATTGCAATTCAAAAAAATGAAAAAAGATACATATTAAATATGTATTACTTCAATACCTAATTTTACAAGCAATAAGCATGATATTTTATAATAGCGAAAAACATAGTCATGAATTTCTGTTGATTGAAAAAATATTTACAAAAAAAATCTAATTGCAAATTGAAAACTGCATATCAAACTCATCTTGATTTAAATCTGATCATAATCTTGAAAATATTAGTCTAATAATTTGTTGCTTTTTCGAATAAATGAGAATAGCTTTTGGACGTGACAGCGGTAATTATCGAAGCTTCACATTCAGAAAAAAGAAAAAGTCTATAATGAAGCAAGGACATTCAAGACGTGCAGTCGATGGTAAGAACGAAGGAACGAGTTTAACTTTAAACTTGTGTACTATTTTAGTATTCCATGTGACTGACATACGAATGAAAGTTAAAAGTAGTGCCATCGCTAAGGAATATTAAAAAAAAAAGAAATTATTTTTGTATAAAAATTTATAATTTACATAATTAAAATTAAATTAATATAATTACCTATTCTATAAAGAGAAAGTAAAGATGAGATTGAAACAATTACTGTTCATATGAAATTTGCAAACATTTTCTACGATAGCTGAGCAATTCTATATCACAATTTATTTTTAATTTTAAACGCCACAGATTAATATCAATTATTATTCAATTTTTTTATTTTACCAAGGCTACGACAACAAGGCTATGACAAGCGAAGTTATAATACCCCTCCCGTTTCTCGATAATGAAGCAGAGCCTAACAGGTAGTTACCGAGTAGTAATCATCGCGTTGCCCTTCAAAACCGACAGCCTACAATCATTGTACTCGGAAAAATCAGCTTTCGCCCTCGTCAAGTACTACATCGCTAGCGTGAAATGCATCACTTCGCGATCGAGCACGAAAACGCAATTGCGAGCATTCAACAAGGACTTTTACGCCTGGTTGCAACAATCTGTACGTCGTCAGCAAGTCATTGACGAAATAATGATATTATATATATGTATATTTTATATATATATATAGTATAAATTATATAAAATATTCAGGAAAAAATCTTAAAGTTTATATGTTAAAAAAAAATCATGTTTTATTCCTCTTTTTTATTTTATAACTGTCGACGCGGTTGCTTGAGATTAATTTTGAATGAAAAACGACTAAAAAAAAATATTTTTCGTATTCCAGGTACGTCGACACTTAGACGATGAGAAGTGGTATCCAGCATTCGGTGGTGTCCTTCGAGTACTGGCTACTTTGCGAGAAACGGGGAATAACTGGCTACTTTGCGAGAAACGGGTAATATTTTATGACGGTCTTTCGTTGCCTGCGATTCGCCGTGTTTGAAAATTAACGAGAGCATATGTTATTCCGTTTAAGCGTTCGTATAGCTAAGAAACTGCAGTTCTCTGCAACATTTCTCTGACCGTGTTCGTGCAAATTCATGCGCGATTTCATCGTGCGCTTTCAAGGGGAGTAAAATATAAACGCATGTCCATTAACCCTTTGATGCATTTCGAAGATCAAAATGACTGTGTCATTTTGCTTCATATAATTTTCTTATCACGCATATAAATTCTCGAAATGTTTTGCTTTATTTTGTAGTTATGAAATATTAATCAATAGTCTTCTAGGTCTTGTATTTGAAATAGAGAGAAAGTTAATTAATTAATGGAATGATCGATTTAAAAGTTGTAATTCTTAATATATTTATACACAATAACATATAATACACCGGTTTTTTGATAAAGCATATATAAATACGCGGGTTATTTCGTGTTTTTTCTCACAAATGATTTTATAGTATATTTTTGTTGTCTTATAATTAGGTATTAGAGGCGATATTATGAAGAGTAGAATAGGTGGTACTTATCAAGTATTGCCCAAAGTAGGTATGGAACGTACGCAAACGGATGAGAGTGCGTCGTTTTACAAAGGAAAGGGAGAAAGTAGGTTATTTCTTCGTGAGACAACACAATTTTTTTTCCTTCTCATCTGTATCATCTTAATAATACTTTCTAATTATTCAAAGCACAATTAAATTGTAAAATGATTTAATTCATGCCGATTAAATTCAGAGAATACGCTTGGACCCACGGAGCTCGTGATTATAGCAATAGTATCCGTACTGGTGATATGGTTGTTGGTGGGTTTGAGCTTAGCGTGCTACAAATTTCTCACTAAACCTTGCGAAGGCTGTCCACCTTGCGAATCAAAGACTACACCGTAAGTTTAGACATTGCTTTCTTTTGCTTATTTTTTTTTCTGCATCGCATTTTCCAGCAACATTGTAACTGCTGCAATGTTTCAAAATATTTCTTGATTACTAAGATAATAATTAATAGTAACACAATTAAAAAGATCAATTAAAAAAATAATTAAAGACAATTAAAAAGATCAAAAACACATTCGCTATCATATTAGCTATTTGATTTTCTTCAAATTATCTATACTAAATATCTGGCATATTTGAAGTTATTGAAATTATTTAAATAATTATGTATTTTTTATTATACATTTTAATTTTATTATATGTTTTACTATATATAGATACTATATATTTTTTAATTTTATCTCCTAAATTTATTATATAATATTTAAATTTATTATTTAAATTTTGAATCTTCTTGTTTTTTCTGCAATTTTTGGGAGAACGACTGCTTGGAAAACGCTGGAGTGACATTCAATCTGTCCTTTTCTTTTTAGATTCGCAGTTCTCTATGAAAATTCAGACTATTGCCAGCCGGATACGTGCCCCTCGAAGTTGCGTAAGGGCATAGTTGAAAAATTGAAGGAATGGTGGAGAGATAGATTTGGACGATGCCCAGGAGGATGCCAGGAGTATGCGGACGAGGAACGTTGCTTGGCTGAAATCAATTACAGCAGCAAAGACATCGTCAGCGATAGCAGCAAAATTTACTCGTGAGCTTATCTTTATTACATTACTCTATATTATTTGCATTAAAATAATATCTTTTTTATCTGTAATATTAGAATAGAAATTTTATAATTGATATATAATTGATATAATTGATAATCTCTGATTAATATGAATTAATTATATCGCGTTATATTATTTCGATTTCAATTTTACATCGAAATACTTTGATATTTACAGGAGAAAGAAATATACTAAATCTACATCAGCTCCACAATTAGGAATATTCAGAGGTCGCACGGTTTTTAAAGTAAATGATTATAACTTTTAGTTTATTATTTATCATACTATAGCTAATATTAGGTGTTGGAATTAATTCGTAGCGTTTTTAATGAAAGAATGTTATTTATTTCACATGAGCATTAAAAAATACATTAATGAAAGTACTTCCCATCACTTGTAAAACGCTACGAATTAATTCCAACACCTAATATGATAGCGTATAAGCGAATGTGTTTTTGATTTTTTTTAATTGTGTTACCATTAATTATTATCTTAGTAATCAAGAAATATTTTGAAACATTGCAGCAGTTATAATGTTGCTGGAATGTTTCTTGCATACTGGAATAGATTTCAAGAAATTTAGTTTAATATTATTTTACACGGAAAGAATAGTTCCGTTAAGTATCTAAAATTTTAATTATTATGGAGATATAAATCTGAAAAAAATACAGTCTTTTTAGACCAATCATAATAACCATTAAAATAATTATGTAGAACGCTTAAGCGTTGATGATGATGCTGCAAAAAATTTTAACATCCCAACAACCAGTTTGAATGCTCTTCATAATTATTTTGATGGTTTAAACAAAATTATTTTTAAATCTTTTTGTAGCTAAATTTTTAGATACTTGAGCAGAACTGTTCTTTCTCTGTAGCAAATATTTTTTGCTATTTTTATACGATTTCTGTATAATTACGAATGTTATCCACAGCATAGCGTCTGCTATAGTTCCGAAGGATCGACCACTTCCGATAGTCCAACCAGGCTAAGATAACAATTAGAAAATAAATGATGATTTTGAACGTTGGATACGAAAGTATAAAAGGATTGTATTTCTTCTTTAAAATGTACCATTTAACTTTAGGATATTTCTATTATTTAATAAAAAATAAAACTCAATAGACACGCAAAACTTTCTAATTCCGCACAGTCGCATACGTGCGGCATTCACAAGAAGAAACGCGAAGATTGTTTTGCTTCACGCCCTGTCAGGCCATTAATCTAATTCCATTACAGTCGGCTGCGCCGAAAACTCACCCCTGATGTTTCTTCACTGCCAGCTTCTCTTTCTCGCGATCACGTGCGCATTCAGCAAATTCTTATTCTCTGTACCCGATTCTGTAATTCTTAATGACAATGTCGGTATATCATTATATTATTTTTGCGCAGATACATGAAAAAACCTGCAATGACAACTTAACGATCTCGAACTGTCGTTAAGGCCCGGTTTCACAAATAATCAAATGAACTTTAATCTTAGTTTAACTTACTATATAGGGAAAGTTTCCGCGTATTTTTGACATTTCTTTATTAAAATAAATTTTATATGTTGCGAGAGGACTTTCCATTCCAACATTTTTGTTGCGTTGTTATCTTTCCAAGAAGAACAACAATAACATAATAACATCAAAATGACATTAAAATTGGAAATGAGAATGATTGAAAAATGACTTTTAATGATTATTTTGGAGTTATTTTGGTATCATTTTGGTATAACTTGTTGTTTTGCTTGGGGTTGTTTTATGTTGGGAAATTCTGCTGTTAGAAACTAAGTTTAATGAGGAAGTAGATTGAAATCTGCATTGTCATTATCGAGTTTGCTGACATACTGTTAACGTATTGCTAGCATTTTGCTATCTGGATTAATTTTGAGATAATCTCGGTTTAACTTTTCATCTTTTTTTAATTCTTAGAACTAAAAGAAAAGATGAAAAGTTAATTAAACCAAGATTAAAATTAAACTAGTAGAAACGGGCATAATTTTTGGAAAAAGATAAATAGTACAATAAATTAAATCGAGATTATGGAACCGCGCCTAAGAGTTACAGAATCGGGATACTGGATAGATTTTTCGAAGGATCGATCACAGTTAGGATTGGTAAAGACTAATGTTTTTTTTTAAGAGTAAAATGTATTGTGTTTTTTTCTTAAATATGTTTTTAATGCTTCAAATATGCTTTAAATAGTACTATAAAAAACATATTTAAAACATATTAAAAACATCAATTAAGCATGTTTTAAACTGTTTAAAACACGTTTAAGAGATGTTTTTTACCAACCCTGATCACAGTAAAATATATGAGTAAAATTCAACAACTTGTTGCGAATGAACTGAAAACAAGCGATGCGAACGCCGGGCGGCGTGGAAGTAGGGAAAACGGAGCAGCGCGGCGGTTTTATGAACGTCCCCTCCAACGCGCGCCATCTTGTGCGCGCATGCGCGTCTCTCGAGCGACGACGAGACCGCGCGAAGTTAGCGGCCGGCCGGCAGTCTCGTGCGACATCTCGGTCGATTCGTTGTGTCGTTCTGTGTATTTACGTGAAAAGGCGTGCGGGAGTGACACGCGTTGCGAGACCGGCTCCCGATCAACGAAATTAGACGAATAGAGTCGCTTTCGAACGAGCAGTTATAATCCGAATAGTCAGCGAGGGGTCGTTAAACGAACGTGAACATTTATTGTCAAAACCGTGCGTGCCGTTTACTGAATCTTCGCAATCGATGACAATAGAACTGTCAGTGCAACAGTTAACGCGTGACGTACGATGCCTCGTGTAAATAATCGACTCTCGCGATGACTCCATCGTAGGTGATCGTAGAGTGGCGTTGTAAAGTCGATCAAGAAAAAACGATCAAATTCTTTCGCGGAAACAATCCCGCGATCAGTACGATCATCATTTGCGCGTAACTTCACAACAGTGACGTTTCGTCGTTCGTCGCGACACGCATCGTGCACTTTCGATCGTTACCAATCGTGACGAGAGACAGGAACGGGAATCGTTAGGAGCATTTGACGGATCCGTGTGTTAATTGCTTTTGCGATCAGGTTCACGGGAAGAAATCCGCGCGCGTGGATGCCGACGAAACGTCGCGGCCTGATTCGCCGAACAGTGGCGTGCGCGCATGCTCCATTTTGAGAATTTGAAATTTTGCAAGTGACTCGAACGAACGCGCTTGAAACTACGTTCACGCGTCTTCGTGCACTCCGGGACTGTTCCTCGAGTATGTGTGCCACGGCGGGATTCATGTGCTTCCTTGTTTCCGCGCGCGTCTACAATTGACTTTTGTGCATTGTCTTGTGCGTTTCGCCGTGGGACAACATGGCACGCAGGGATCATCGCCAATTATGCACGCTGCTCTTCCTGCTCCTCTTCGCGGACATCTTGAAAGGTGAGTCTTTACGCTGATATTTTCAAATTCTCATTGTTCGACGAGCTAATAAAGTGCATTATCTGTTAGTATAATGATAATATAATGATAAAATTCTAGAATTTGTTTCTCGATCGAGACTGATTTTTTTTTAACATATATAATCGCTTGTGTAATTATACATCAACTTTACTAGCTCCTCAAAATGGAATTTTTGAAAGAACAAAAGTCGAAATTTTTTAAGTGTAATCGACTTTCCAAAACGTATGTCTTACAGTCGTTTATCATTATTTAGATAATATTTTGAATAATCTTAATTTGTTTTCTAAATTCTATCACATAATAGGATACAACTTTTTTCGCCATCGTTTGGGAATCATTTTATTTCTACATTTTCTTATGTATTTTTCTTCATGAAAACCGAAAGTTATTTAATAATGATATTAGAGACAAAGAAAAACTGATACATTGTGTGTATAAAATAAAGTTAATAAAATTCTTTTACGTTGTTATGAAATCGCTGTCAGTTATTTAAAAATTTAGAGAGAGTTAGATCAACAACTCTAAATTAAATGATTAAAATATAATAAAGAATAAGGATTTTATCCTTTATTTTAGTGTCTAATCATTAATTACGATAATCTTCGGTTTTTATGAAGAAAAATACATAAGAAAATATATAGAAATAAAATAATCTCCAAATGATCGTGAAAAAAGTGAAAAATATACCCTTCTTATCTATAAACGACTCAATATGACAACTTAAACATTTTTTTACTAATGATACGTTAACGATATATAAACAATATTAATGATAAGCACGCTGTTATTTTGTTTCTGAAATCTGTTATCATTATCTACAGTTTAATCGAAAGAGTTCTCGAAGCATACGATAAAGTAAACGTTTAATCTCCACTCGAAATTTGTGATTGGCCGAAACGATTTGAGAGTACTTTCAACTTCTGTTCTTCTTCATAAACATTCAACAAGTGGCGACAGGTCCACTGGCTCGTGCGAGTTAAGTTCACGAGAGCTTTTCAAATCGCTCGAACTCCGCGAGGACTTTTTCTGTCGTAAAATATCGAGTATAATACTATAGTGATTAAAATGTTCCTTGTTGTACACGGTGTTTATGTGTTTCACGTAGACCTTTTATTAATTAAATATATAAATGAAATTCATTAAATATATAGATATGTAAATAATTTTACAACATGAAATTAATTATTGATTGGCAGAAATCATCATTTTTAATAACAACATTATTACGATACTTGTTATTGCAATCAAATAATTTTATATGCAATTGTTTGTTAAAATTTCAATTTGCATCCTTAACGTATTAATCAACATCATAAACACAATTTTATATTTTTGAATTTCTATCTTTTGACCGATAAATTCCAAATTGCTAAATTTGTATTACATATTAACCAATTCCAATAATCGTAATATTTTGTTTTTCTACTAAAATTCATAAATAAACAAATTATTGCCTAAAGGATTAAAAGTTTTTCGAGTGGAAAAGGCACTTGGATCTGAATATTTATCTCGACAAAACATCAGTATTTGTAATAAAATGTTGTATTCGAATTGTATATTGTGTGATTTTCGCGTGTACGTAACAGCAGACGTTTCAACGTTCGCAGACGCTGTAATTTGTAAACGATTTAAAGCATTTTATGCTCTGTTAGCCACGGTAATAGGCTCGCTTTTAATTACCGTCTAATGTACTCTTACCGTCTCCCTTGACACCCACTTTGGCCGCGTAACAGGCAACGCTTTTCATTTATCGATGGTTGAGCTTGTAAGAGGCGAATTTTGCGACAAGACTCTGGACCAATTTTTCCTGCCTCATTTTCTATCCCAAGGCTAATAGATTTAGTCGACGCGTTTCCCAGAATATTTATACGCTTAAATTAATCGAGGGCTGATAAATTACGCGCCTTTTTTTTCTATATTGCAATTTCATTTTTTCCATATAAAAGTCAAGATTGCTTTTTCATGATATTTTATAGAGCCCGATGTAAAAAATTACAATTCATTAATATTTTTAAAGATTTTTTCGTAGATATTATACTAATTGACATCATCAATGAATAATTATCAATGCACATTTCTTGAAAGATTGTTGTATAACATTTTATACATATATATATATATATCTTCATTTTAAATGCATAGAACGTATAATTTAAAAACTCTTAAAACATCTATAATACATTTGGTACATGAACTTAAAAGAGAAAACATGTAGTAACATATTCATGAAAAACGCTACAATCTCATGAATATTCATTAAATGTTAAAAATAGCAAAGGAAACGATATATAGACTTGCTCATGCACACATTAAAATTTTTTTAATATCGTATACACCCTATCGATTCAATAATGCGATAGCGTTTAATGAAATTAGTGCGTTACGGATGACTGAATTTCTGCATAATATTATGACTATGTTTGTACAGCTATTAAATTTTAAATAACCGTTTTAATATATTATAAATACGATAAACCAGTGGATTTTATATCCAGGTTACGTATTATGGAATTGTTTGGAATGAATTCTGATCGGAATTATTTCGTTTTCTTTATAATAGAAATATATATCTACACGGAAAGAATTTTGTTGAAATATCTAAAAATTTAGAGTTAGATATAGATTTGAAAATAATAAAAAATAATTTCGTTGGCCATAAAAGTATTTATAAAGACACTCACATATGATAATACAAAAAGCAAATGATAATACAAAAAGTTTTGACATTCCATCAATTAGCTTGAAGATTCTACATAATTTTGATGATTCAACAAAATTATTTTCAGATCTATATATCTAACTAAATTTTTAAATCCTTCAGCAAAATCGTTCATTTTATGTAGAGAATAATCAGACAATTCTAATTGGAATCTATGATGTTTCTAAGTTAGACTCTCAGTTAGACTATTTCTTATAGTTATAATTGAATGAATTTAGAGAAGGTTATTCATAAAAATTCTTTTAACTTCGGCTTACGCTAAATACGTAGATTATTACAACCGTTAAAATCATGGCGAGAGAGCCCTCATTCTTTTTTTTTCTTTTATTATTTATTTGCGTTCAAGTTTCGAGAGGCGCGACTTTATTGGCTTGTAAATAACGGATATTATGCGCGGCAACGCATCCCCGCGTTTAAGGACTCCATCGGACGTTATTTAGAGCTCAAAGGGAATAGCGCGAGACGTGACGGCACAACGAAATATCACATTGATGATGCTAAACAAACGTGTTGGAGAAGGGTGAAGAAATTCGTGAGTCTCTCTTAGAGCTTTTGTCACCGTTCGCGAAGTTACGGGAGTTTTATGCTAATACTTTGCTGTCGATAATTAGCAACCGTCGTCTCATTATTTTTACCCGCAATATATTTCACTTCTTCTCAATGCGAACAAAAAAATGTACTAATTTATTTTAACTTGTAAATATTATTAGTTATTATGCAAAGTAAAATGATAAATATATATAGTTGGATTAATATATAATAATATAAATTTTATAAAAGAAAAAAAAGAGAAATTAATTCTAAATTTATTAAAATATTTTTCTATAAGACATCTTAAATTTTTAATGATTTTTAAAAGTATATAATATATGATAAAAAAAGAAATTAAATTTTTGTTATTTATTTCACATGAGCATTAAAAAATACATTAATGAAAGTACTTCCCATCACTTGAAAAACGCTACGAATTAATTCCAACACCTAATACATTAAAAAGATAAAAAAATAAATGCAAATATGAATGTAAAAAATGAATAGAATCTCAGCATTCGACCTAGTTTCGAGCAAGCATTGAAACCCTTTTTATCCCTTTTGTTATTGACAAGCTATTTGAGAATAGCGAAGCAGTATACAATAACATTGAAACGTGATGCAAATGCTTATATGTCTGAAAAAGATCATATATAATAGCATATCGTAACAAAATTTCTTTTTGTCGCACCAAACCTCTGCAGACTGTATTTTTGTAAACAGTTTTTGTAAACAGCTGCATAAAAAAAAATATATGAAAATATTTAATTAGCACATTAGTTCTCATTCAGATTTTATCCATTTTTGTGCATTCATTTGTTAACTTTTTTATTAAAATTCTTATACTAAAAAAAGATTGAGGGAGAGAAACAAGATAACGCTGTGTTTCTTTAATATTTCAATATATTATTGTACATTATTAATTAATGAAATTATTATTTTATATTTTGATATAAAAATAGATATGATATAGAAATTTTTCACTAATGATTTACTCCTCGATTTTGACGACTTTGGCGTGAGTACAAAGCAGTGATGTACGCGTTAGAAATGTCGACAGGCAAAAGCGAGAAGGAACAAGTTCGCGAAAGGAACGTGTAACGATTCGTATGGCTTTATATAATACTTTTTGCGATCGTAAATAGTAGCCAAGCGACATCCGTGAGGTAAACCGCGTTGTATCGAGCACCATGGAGAAGCGCTTACACGGGAGGACTAGTATATAGGCGTGTGTTCACTTCTACGGAGTGCGAGGATGAGTAACTTATACGGCTGTTTTTCATCGTATATTAAACGCGTCTGTTCACAGCATTGATGCGCTTAATGATCGATAAGCTCGGTTGATCGTACATTGCTTATATTCACAAATATGATTTATTGTCCTTTAAATCACGAATCGTGCTATTACTTGTTTCTTCTACTCTTTTATCTGTGCAATTTTTCTGAATAACTTGACTTTTTGTACCAGGGATATTTGCTTTCAATACAAGTTATCAATATCAAAATATAAACACTGATTATTTTTTGAATATCAATGTGATGGTAACTATGATACAAAAGCATGGATTTATTTTCAATTTAAAGTTTTTAAGAACAATTGTTTTTATATAACGTTGAGTTGCATTTTTGTTTCTCTTGCCATATTTTGTGTTAGGAGTTATTGAGCTTGGAAAGTGAAATTTTATTTGCTAAAAGATCTTTAAAAGATAAAAGAAGTTTTACGACAGAA